TTAGATAGAAGGTTCTATTTTTAATAAATGAAGTATCAGTAATTTACTGCCATCTGCTGACAAAAATTAAAAGTAAAAATACGATTTGTGAATTGTTGTTTATTAAGCACAAAGCTACACAAAGGGATATCTGTGCTCTGCCCATCACGAGTATCGAAACCCAATTTTTAGCATTGTAAGTCCGCAGACATACCACTGGGGGACGATATGTAAATAACTTAAAATAGAATTGATAATAATTTCAATAAATTACTTAATCAAGTACACATCATAACAGTTGTTGTTCACGAAAACTGATGATATATTTAACGCCTAGACCACTACTATGTTTGTCATATCACAGACGGTCTGACTAGCAGTTGTATTGAGCGAAAGGCCTCGTCAGCACTAGATATGGGGGATTTAGTGTGGTTGACATATCATAACATCTTTGCTTTCACTGATGGGTTCTTAGAATTCTAAAAAATAATATTTGTCTTTTATTAGTTTTCTAGGTTTACAACTATTGGAATAGACTTTACATTTGAAATTTCCAAATAATAATAAAATTATTATATACAGTTTGGGAAATAATTATGAAAACAGAGAGCATAAGGGTATAAACGATAAATATAACGGGAATCCCCTACTTGTATCGTGCGAAAATAAAATACACTATAGTACAGTCACATGTGCTTTCCACTATTATTGGCTGTCATCCAACCAATCAGAAAGTACCACACCAGTATAAAGCCTATAAAAGTACTGGCAACCACATCTTCCCCAGTAAAAAGACTGGGTGTCATAGTGGTCATGATGCTCGACTATTATGTGGAGGTTTTAAGTTCAAATCCCAGTTAAGGCGGAATTTTAATATTTTTAAGCGTCTGGCCTGTGAAAGTGGGTTTTCTCCGGTCACTCCGACTTCACACCACATCAAAATTAAAAAGGGCATTGTACTTTATGGTCCCCGCCTCCCTGAAAAGGGCCTCAAACTCAATTCAATGTAATTTTAAAATTCACTACAATTTTAATTCCAATCAAAATAATTCATCTAAAAACATCCCAATAAAATACACTTAAAATACATTTTAAATTCTAAACCCACCCTCATAAATGTTGGATTTTCCTGCCTTGCCTCGTCAATGTCATCGAGTTCATCACCTCATCGACTCTACCACCACTGGACAAGAAGAATTTCATCTTCCCTCAGCCGACCTTCTTCATAGCTTCTCTCTCAAAAAACTCAAGCCAATGTTTTCAATTATGAATATAATCTCTGTAGCAAATTATTCTCACGTGTGGGGTTGAAGGGGAACAAGTGTTCCCGAGCACCCAAGTTGGGAAGGGCAGGCTAACTTAATGTTGCTTACTCTTCCTTCAAACTAAATTACTGTCACGTTTAGTTTTTTCCATCCCCAGTAATTCTCCCAGGACTAAAACAACACGTGAAAAGAGTGTAGAAGTTTAACTGTTCAAAGATATTCCTTGCGAAGAATAATGACAAGATTCTTAAAATGATGCATGAAAGTGACATTGTTAATAACAGAAGTCGTCAAGGTATAAAACTAAAACTTTCCAAATGTGACGTTAGTATCTAAGTGTTTATTTTTTTTATGAAATATACGACAATAGAGTGCATATTTTGCTGTAAATAAACATTGGCATAAATTGGTCTTAATGAACATGTAGCTGCTCAGAAACCTCTGCTGAGAAGAGGTAGATAAATCAAACGATTGAAATGAACATCGAACCATAAACAATTGAATGAGCAAAGGTTGAAATTCCTTTAGAGATGGATCCACGCTTTAATTTTCAGCAACAAACAATAACAGTTTGTTCGACAGCAGAGAGGAAAATATTATTATAGTCAATTAATTTGCGTCAACAGTGAAGCATGGTAAGGTATCAATACAAGTTTGGGCTGCATTTCAGCCAACGTGTAAGTAATCTATGCAAAATTGATGGCACCTTGACTGCTGACAAGTACAGTCAAATTCTGACACATCATGCCATTTCCTCAGAAACCTGACTCATCCCAAGCATGCCAAAAATGTTGTGAATCGATGTATATTGATGGTAAAGAGACCAATGAGTCACACTCACAACCATAACTGAGCATAATCAAAGTCTCAAATTGAACATTTTTGAGGCTGTAAGGGCTAAAGTAAAAATTGAAAGGTCAAAAAGAGGATCAAACCACTTGGCTGTATTGTGAGGAGTAATCCAGAACATTTGGAACAATATTCCAAATCATATATTGATAAACTGTACGGCGACATGAAACAACATGTAATACTCTGGAACAAAAGGTTCACATACAAACTATTAGCGCATTTCTTTCTTTTTGTATTTTCTGTGCTAAAGTTTCGTAACACTAATAAATACACCGCCTAACTGCGATTAGTAGTTGCTAGTAACTCCTGTATATGTATCGTCTGTGTGTTTTCATAATTACATCCGTTACTTTAAGTATAGCAATTTCAAACCCAAGTAAGTAAAATCTATACAGTTTGCCTTTCCAAGATTCACACCAACAGGTGTATTATAGTTATTATTTACTGTAAAGGACTTCTTTTATTTCTTTTTGCGGAAATGTAACTTTCAATGTGCATTTTCTACTCGCTTTTAATCCTTACGGGGCTATGATTTATATCCGTGTTAATATGTGTTATTATAGCGCTTATCTTAAATCTGTTTAATTAACCATTTTATTCTGACACATGCATTCAGCTTGTGAACATAAATTAAGATGTACTTTGATGTGCATTTAACAGTTTCTAAAATTATATCATTTAAAATGTAATTTACGATCCCCCCCTCCCCCACAAAAAATTAGAAAATATTTAAATGAAGTAAAATTCTTTTTACAAATAAAAAAAATATAAAAACGAAATCATATTTTCAGTGTCGTGCTAATAGGTTTAACTTCTTTATTCTTGAAACAACTCTAAGAAGTGAAACAATATTTTAATCACGTTAAAAACACGAATGTTTTCGAAGTTCTACATTATAACTAGAAGCATACGCGACACTATTTGGGAAAAATGCTTGATTTTAAATCCTTTGGATATTTCTAACTAAGAATATTTTACATGGATACACTTTATATATTTTTTGAGTAAATAAATATATAGATACTTGTGTTGTAAGTATACTGAGTACCAAATGAATGTTCCTGAAATGTGACAAGATGTGAAGAGAGTCTCTTCAGTTAACAAACGTTACGCATTCTTTAGCAGCAACAGTTGATATGAAAAGCGAAACGTGTTCATAGAAGACTCTTGTAAAAATATAAATTTCTTGACACATAAACTGACAAAGACTTCTAATAATTTTACAGCTAAGCTCCAAATTCTTATATCTTTTGGAAAGTAAAAAAGAAAAAGAATTATGATTAGTATAAATCACCGAAAAATGAGGACACGTCCAATTACTAGTTAATTGCATTCCCTTCTGTTTTGAAATGAAAGCAAAAAAAAAAAAGAAGAAAAAAAGATGTCTTATTATTTGATTACCTTCTAACTTATTTAGTAATCTCTGAAATGCAGGTTATTATTATTTTGATTAAGTCAAGACGCTTTAGGTATAATAAACCTCAGTGTTAATTATATAATGTGAAAGTCAAGACTGGAGCAGAGTTGAACGTTAATAAAACCTAAGATCTGGTGTCTATTGACAGCTTAGCAGCTGCTAAAAGAAGTTTAAATGAAAATTAACAATGTGTCAAAATTACATTACTTGGGAAGATTCTTATAATCTTTACACACTATGTTCTATTGTAACCGAAAGCTAGTTTTGACTCTTGTGCTAAAGCCCCCCCCCCCCCCAGCAGCACAGAGGTAGTTCTCCGGACTTACAATGATAGAATCCAGGTTTCGATACCTGTGGTGAGCAGAGCACAGATAGCCCATTGTGTATCTTTGTGCTTAACTACAAACAAACCAAAACCATAACGCTAAAAACTGGGTTTCGATATTCGTGGTGGGCACAGTACAGATAGCCTACTATGTGGCTTTGCGCTTAACAACAAACATAAAATTAATAGTTTATAGTAATTTTCTAGGAAAACAAATGCTTAGCGGTAAGTCTTAGCGCTTATGAGTTTATAACACTAAAAGACTACATATAGCCCATTATGTATCTTTGTGCTTAACATAAATACACAAACCACATTCAGTCATAGTATTTTATATAAGGAAATGCTATGATTACCTTTACCTATATAAAATTCAATATTTCTGAAGAACAACAGAAGATAATTTTTACCTATACACTACTATTAAGAAAAAAATAGTTTATTTTGATTTCAACATTTTTTGTTGTTTTTATGTCTATAAATTCCAGTGAAAAAAATTAACAGCGTGAACTTTTTAATGAAAAACTGTTTTAGGATGTGTGTGTGTGAATATAATTTTTTATTTTTTAAAATAAACCACACATTACGAACAAATAAAATGAAAGAACTTGGAAACAAATATTATAAACATAATATAGACCCCACTTATTTAGAATTAAAACCCACAGTCAAAATACGTCAGGCCACGTGACTCATGACGTTCAGCCTGGTTGTCGCAAGCTTTTGTAGCTCATGCTTGAGTCGTTACTCTGCTATAAGCTAGCAATACTGTTATTTCAGTTTTCTGAGTCTTATCGAAAGTGCGTGAGAAGAAGAAAATACAAACTATTTCAAATGACTTTAATATGGAAATACTTTGATTAGTTTGTTGTTGTTGGTTTTACTCTTATGAAACTTCTCATAAAACTAAGTTCACTGGTAAACCTGACGTGTCTAAATGCATGGTGAAAAGTGAAATTTTAATTGAGATATTTGCAAACTTTTTAAAGTAATTTTTGTTTTCAACACTCTTTGCAACCGGTGCCATAAAATGGAAGGGGATATCCTATTCTCACTTCAGGATAAAAACTTTACACTTCTGACAGATGATATAACCGAAAGCGTGAAACCTTTGCTAGAAAATGTTAGCACAAATAACACATTCGTGGATTATAAAGCCTACATGGGTCCTAAGAGAAAGTCTTTGTTCTTCGTGGTACCCATGACCCTGGTTTACGTATCTATTTTGGTTACTGGAATAGTTGGTAACATCTGTACATGTGTTGTAATTGCGAAGAACAAACACATGCAAACGGCCACGAATTACTATCTTTTTAGCCTGGCTATCTCGGATCTCTTACTGCTGGTGTTAGGACTTCCTCAGGAAATGTACCAACTCTGGGAGAGCTATCCTTACATTTTTGGAGAATTCTTTTGTTTCTTTCGTGGCCTAACTTCAGAGACTTCAACAAATGCGTCCATATTGACCATCACCGCTTTTACAGTAGAGCGATATCTGGCTATCTGCCATCCTATTCGAGCCCATACAATGTCCAAATTATCCCGAGCAGTTAAATTTGTCATAATCATCTGGATTCTTGGAGCACTAACAGCTGTAGTCATAGCCTTTCAGTTTGGTATTGTGGTCTTATTTGATATCTCTGACTATGCTGTGTGTACAGTGAAAAGACCTTTGAAACATGCTTTTGGAATTTCGACACTTATCTTCTTTATCTTCCCTATGAGTATAATTCTAATACTCTACGTGCTCATCGCTATTCAGTTGCAACGGTCATTAGAACTGTCTCATGATGAAACAACCCATGGAACAAACAACGGATCAAACCCTCAAAGTATCCGTAGCAAACATTCCAGACAGACTATGAAGTCTTCCACCAGCAACTCCTCTCGTAGGGCGGTGATCAAAATGTTGGGTAAGTTAAATCTTCCTTCTGATCGAAATGATGATTGATTAAAGTCCAACACTTGTTGCTGTTACTGTAAAGTAGTTATCGAAATGTTAGATGAATAATGTCTTTCAAGAATAACTATTTTGGTAGGACAATCATCAAAATGTTAGGTAAGTTAAATCTTCCTTCTGATCGAAATGATGATTGATTAAAGTCCGACACTTGTTGCTGTTACTGTAAAGTAGTTATCGAAATGTTAGATGAGTAATGTCTTTCAAGAATAACTATTTTGGTAGGACAATCATCAAAATGTTAGGTATATGAAGCATTTTACTTGACCAGTATTCTCGTATTGTCGTACAAAAAATAAAAGGTACAGTTGATTAAATATTTGTATTTGCTATTGTTATTGTTAGACAGTCATCAATATATTAAATAAGTAGAGTGTTTTTTTTTCTCAAACTATTTTTCAAGATATTAGATGAATAAAATCTTCCATCATCCGCTCTGCAATATATTAACATACCAGAAGAAAAAAACAATTCTATCGGCCATTCTCCTAGGAGATAATTTTCGAACTGATAGAATACTAGATTCTTTCAGAGGTTGCGAGTCATTGTAAAATAATAACGAGTAGAGCCTTTAACATGCTACTATTCTCATAAGCATAATATCGAAATGGTAAATGAATAGTTTTTAAGCCTGTTATTATACTAAGAGACTCATTATTCAAAGTTTTAGATGAGTAGTGTCTTTCATTGGCTATTATTCTAATAAAAGAATCACTATCGAAATATCAAATGGTAAATGAATAGTTTTATAGGCTATTATTCTCAAAGTCTAATTATTATTAAAATGAAGATGGGAAGTCTTTCATGAGTGAATGGCATCCTTCTCACCCTATTCTACTTGTAAAATATTCACCAAATACGTTACTTTACTAAAGGCTTCTACCACTCACTTTGAAGGTTATGTAAGTATTAAGATGGTATATGTGTAAAAATCTTCGGTCAACCATCCATGACAGACTATCCATAGTATTATGTTAGAGAAGGTATCAAAATATTGGAAGTGTTAGGTATTGCAATAGGTACAAGGTGTTTTATTATAAAGTTGCCATTAAATTATTAAGTCTTCCATCAGCTACTCTGCTTTAGAAAATGTCTCGAAATTCTTCCGTTACTCTATTGATGTGGTAGTAAATCGTAATGTAAAATAATACAGAATCTCACAACAGGTATTTTTCTTGCATATTTGTCAATGAGATGTTAGTTTGATAACGTTTTCCGTTAGATACTCTTCGGTTTCAAGACAGTAAATCGAAATATTTCTTATTCACATGTCATATTTTCGACTTTCACAAGAAGAAGAAGGTATATGACATTAAGTTTTAAAATGAGAACTGGAAAGATCGGTGACCAAAAGACAGTATCAGGGTTAATATTCAAGAAGTATTTCATTTAAATGCTTACAAAACATGGAAAATTTTGGCACTAATTTCTGGTCAATGAATATAACATAACCAAAATGGCGGAGGTTTACATTCTGTTCAGAAAGGTAAGTGCTGTGTAAAAAAAAAATATTTTTGTATATGAAAATAAAATCATTTTTAAATAACATTTTAGCATGTTTGACCACTAACTATAAGACAATGTCACGTAGATTATGATTCTGTTTAAATATTTTGATGTTTTACAGTGTTCTTTCTGCAAAAGTAAAAAAATGGAGTTTATTCTGAAAATAGTAAGAAAAAGCCATAATTTCCTCATCATTTACCATAACGAAAAATCTTGTTGGCCTTCCTTTTTAAATTTCTCATGACTTATTACTGGGAATATGTTGTACCATATATTTAGAGTTTGGACACGCTTAAGTTTAAAAGAAATGGCACTAAGGAAGCCTTACACATTTCAATAGAAAACATCTAAAACAATTAGCTTTAATGAAAAAATACGCAAAATTAATTAATAAACATATAATGTTTGTTTAAGCACAAAGCTGCTTAATGGGCTACCTACGCTGTGCCCAGCGCAGGGATCGTACATTTTAGTCTTATATGTCTTCAAGCTTATTGCTGAGTCACCGAGAGGCATTAACAAGTAAAAACCAACTGGCAAAAGAATATATAAATTGTATTTTAAGTCAATTTTTTGTTTTATGTTTTAAAGCACATGGCTACACAATGGGCTATCTATGTTCTGCCCATCATGGGTATCGAAACTTAATTTTTAGCATCATAAGCCCATTGACTTACCGCTGAGTCACAAAGGGCTTATTGTCATATAACTATCTCTCAAAATTTTATATACATACATCTCGTAAATGCAATCGTCAATAACTGAATAGCCTTAAAATTAAATAATTGGTTTTTCTATTCTATATCGAGTTTTATTCAAATCTGAATGTGAATGTTATAGTCAAAGTAAACTCCTAAACCACTAATAAGATTATAAATATACGCAGGAGAAAACTCAATTTTATTGTGGATAGAAACTGATTCAAATTATAGTTTTTAAAAGTAATAATGTGTTAGTGTTATAATTGTAATAATGTGTTAGTGTTATAACTGAACGTATGAATGAAAACAAAAAGAATCAGTAAATATCATTAAATATCATCCTTTTGAAAGTAGCACCAATCTGAACTTAAAGTAGTTAGCTTTCAATCCCAGAAATGCTTTATGGAAATTTTACAAAAGCTGGTGTGGATTGAATACTTAAACATTTGAATGAGTTGAGTAGTAGCATAAATACCGAGTGCGTTTTTCATCCTGGTGTTACTGTTGAATAACTATGTTGTCCTCCAACTTTCTCATTCCTCTATTCCATTGAATAATTTTATAAATTTCTGGAACTTTCTGGCTTTCCATGGTTAGATGAATTACATATGCCTGCGATGGTTTTATTGTCTTGAAATTTTTACATGTTCTAATGTAATTCCTGTACGCTGAATCCGAAAATTATATCCATTTTTCTCCATCACGTACAGATTTTTCACAAAACGTCATATGTACTTTTACATAAGTGAATCATTTTCATTGAAATCGTGATATATTTTTTATGTTTAAAATGATGACAACCACTGGCTATAGATATCTCTAGACCAATCGCGACGTGAGAACCTTATCAATCGTTCTAGAACCCAAACATAATAATAAAAAATGTTTATTGCGGTAAACGAATTATTAATTTGATCTAAGTAAGTGTTGTTGTTTTTTCTTCCCGATTTGTAAAAAATCCTTACGTGACAGAAAAAAAAAGTTAATTTAGATATCTGCGTAGCTGAATTATGGAAAATCCGTTATTAAAACAACTTTTATGAAGTTTAAAGTCGCAGGCCTGCGTTATTGATATTTGTTATTTAGTGCAAAGTTACACAATAGATTATCTGCTCTCGGTCCACCGCGGGGAATCGAACCGTGTATTTTAGTATTGTAAGTCTATAAGCTTACCGCTGAGCTTCCGAGTGACGTCAGACATATCACTGTTAGTTTTATATTAAATACGAATTTAATTTAATTTTTTTTTTTTTTGAGGTTCTGAAAGTAATGACAGATGATATGGACGCTGATATGTATAATTATTCCATTACATAATATTGTTTTGGATTATAATATTAAGTTTATTGAACGATGACACCACTTTGTGGCACAAAAGTCCGTTTTTTCACAAACATTTCACTATTCTACACTTTAGTATGCTGAACTGTTATTAATACGAAACACCTTAAAATTGAATTATGACTTTTGTCTCCTAGACGACATAACCTCAAAAGGACAAATGGGAAAGTACGTGTGAAAGATAGCGTTCACGGAGAAACATGTTCCAAACGATTTCATGATTTTTTTAGAGCTGTTTTAAAAGCTCTATTTGCACACGTACAATCATTTCACTCAGAAAGCCTAACTAGGAATCATTAGATAATTGTGTATATTCACAGCTTATCAAAGCAGTTGAAAAACATTTCGTCTTTTCTAGGGTATATGGGTAGGAAGAATAATATAAAAGTTATTATCACATTTAGATATAATAAGTTAAATGTCAACGAACGAGAAGCCAGTCGCCTTAAACTTTTTTTCTAACATATCCTCCGGTGAGACAGCAGTAAGTTTACGGACTTACATCACTAAAATTCGGGGTTCGATTTCCCGCGGTGGACACAGTGGATAGCCCAATGTGGGTTTGCTCTCAAACAAACAGACAAACAAGCTATCTAACGTTGATAAAATATTCTATTGTGACATTAGGTGAAATAGAAGTAGAAAATACAAATGCGTAACAGAGACTAATGACTGAAAAAAATGAAATACATTTATTATAAAACTTCACAGTTATGTAAAACTAAAAACAGAACTAAGCCAAAGAAACTGTAATTCCACCCTTAAAGATACTAAAACTTCAATCAGCTTGGCATTACCGTTTGCTAAGTTAATTTTTTGTTTTTTCTTTTGACCAATATTTTGATTTGTTATGGCATTTGAACAAAGAGCTTTACAGATTCTACAGATCACGTGCTCATTTGGATCGAAGGTTCTGGTTTATATTTGTCAGAGCAAGCACTAGACCACCTCGACCTTCTATGCGCTAAGCCGCGCACATTAGTTATTGATGTGTTGATTGTTGCGTAGATTTTGTTCTCAATAGGCCGTGCTGACATAATGTGAACAGTTACGGCTTTCACTGATTCTAAACGAAAAATAAAACTATGTCATTCACTTTTCTACGCCATATATAGAAACTTTTACTCCTGATAATTTCCTTCTATCAAGGAGACATCATCAACACCCTTTCCCCATACTTATTCGTTAATCTTTAGTGAAATTGTGATTTGAGTTCTTAAACTTATTATACTTAATTGTTAAACGCCTTTAGCGTACACATTTTTAAAACACGTGTGGATCATTATTTTATTTCACGGCCTTTTAGCTCCTAGATAATTAAGACATTCGTGTTTGTCTTCAGTGAGAATTATATAATGTATATACATTCACTGAAAAAGAGAGCAAAATATAACCAATAGTGTAT